TTCATCACGGTCCTCCCGCAGGGTGGTCCAGGGGACTCGTCCAGTGCTTGCAGCTTAACTCCCCCGACTTTCAGTGTCAGGCAAGTTGCTGGCTGTGGAATCGGAAGACATGGCCGCCGGTTCCTTGACTAGGACTGGTCGCTCTCATGCCCAAGGGCGTCGTATGAGTCACTGTGAGTGAGGCTTCCATCTGTGCCCCCCCTTCTCCTGCCGTCGCGTGACCGTGCCCCCGCCGTGTCTCTCCTGTTCCCTGGCCTCCTCCTCGTTTCATGGACGGTGCGGCCACCCCGGCCACTCCGTGCCGCCACAGCGCGGCGTGTTCCACGCCCTTACGCGCTGTTCGGTACGGTCAGAGCTTGGCGCCACGTGTGCGGCTGCTCCCTCCGTCCGTTTCCAGTTTTGTGTTTGCGTTCCCCGGTTTCGGGCCGCCAGCGTCCTAATGAGGGTCATTTTGTCCCTGGCACGTGCACCCGCTGCCGCGGCCTATGCGCTTCTGCAGCTAATTATCTCGCCTTGTGCCCCTGTCGAGTCCGTCCCGCTTCCTGGATCTGGATCTGTCCTGATGAGCCGCCAATCAAAAAAGTACCCCCGCCAGCTCATCCAGAAACGATGCCCATGAGAGCTGACGGGGGGAGAGAGGAAGAGGCACGCAACAGTCAAACAGCCAGGGAGGTTCGGGAGGCTCCGTGGCCATCTCAAGCCGTCTTGGAGCGGTCTTGGGGCCATTTGGGGCATCTTGGGAGCCATCTTGAGCCAGGCTGGGCTATCTGAGCCATCTTGGAGGTCACCTTGGGCTCTCTGAGGCCGCTCGGGGGCCTCTCGGGGGCCTCTCGGGGGCCCCTTGGAGGCCTCTTGGGACTTCTTGGGGCGCTTTGTGGGCCCCCTTGGGGCTCCCTTGGGAACCCTGGAGGCCCTCTTGGGGCCATCTTGGAGGCAATCGATCAAAAGAGGGGGTTCCTTTATCTCCGTCCCCAACTCGGGGGCCACGATCCTCGTGAGGGGTGGCAAACGATGGCCATCCCAGGTGCCGGGGAAGAATGCTCTAACTCGTCGGGGCCCCTCCCAAATAAACCTAAGGGAGGGGATGGGGAGGGTTTCCCTCCCCGAAGGGAAGAGGGGTTGTGGAAGAGGAATGAGACCCTCGTCGGACCACCTGTCGGCCAAAGGGCTGGTGGGATTTACCACCAGGTTTATGCATTGGCATGGCGACGATACGGCGGATACCGGCCCTTGTTGTATAGTACAAGCGTTACACATTTTTCATACCAATGCACGACCACTTGTTGACACGTGTAAGGTCTAGGCCACTTTTGGACAACACGTTGGCGGCCCAGTCGCAGACTTTGTAGTGCGTGTGCCAGGCGGGATGACGACGATATGGTGGATGAGGAGGAAGAGGGGGATGGGGACGAAATGAGCTTGACGAAGGACCCAACCATATGCAGCTGCGAGTGCCGCATTGTGGGTACCGCTTTCGGTGGAGCTCACTATGGGGCCACGAAACGTGCGAGAGGTGCGCCGAAATCGGTGGCGTGGACGCATGTGGACACCGCCATTGGGGCCATCCGTGGAGCTTTCTATGGGGCCACGAACCACGTGATGGGGTGCGCAACGTCAGGCGGCGCCGCCATGCGGACCTTGCCACTGGGGCCTCCGGCGGGGCTCCCTATGAGGCCACGATCCGTTTGAGGGGTGCGCCAAAATGGGGCGGCGCCGCCATGCGTGCGGACATTGCCACTGGGGCCTTCGGTGGAGCTCTCTATGGGGCCACGATCCGTTTGAGGGGAGCGCCAAAATTGGGCGGCGCCGCCATGTGGGCCCAGCCACTTGGGCTTTCGGTGGAGCTCCCTATGGGGCGGTCACGCACCGTGTGAGGGATGCGCCAAAATTGGGCGGCGCCGACATGTGGACCCTGCCGCTCGGGCCTTCGCTCCCTATGGGGCCCCGAATCGTGTGAGGTGTGTGCCAAAATGGGGCGGCGCCGCCATGTGGACCTTGCCACTGGGGCCTTCCGTAGAGCTCTCTCTGGGATTACGAACCGTGTGAAGCGTGCGCCAAAATGGGGCGGCGCCGCCATGTGAACCCAGCCACTTTGGCCTTCGGTGGAGCTCCCTATGGGGCGGTCACGCACCGTGTGAGGGTGCGCCAAAATGGGGCGGCGCCGCCATGTGGACCCTGCCACTGGGGCCTTCGGTGGAGGTTTGTATGGGGCCATGAAGCGTGTGAGGGGCGCGCCAAAATGGGACGGCGACGCCATGCGGACCGTTCCACCGCCACTGGGGCCTTCGGTGGAGCCCCCTATGGGGCCATGAACCGTGTGAGGGGTGCGCCAAAATGGGGCGGCGCCGCCATGTGGACCCTGCCACTGGGGCCTTCGGTGGAGCTCCCAGCAGACCCACGAACCGAGTGAGGGGTGTGCCAAAATTGGTGGCGGTCCCCGCGGGAGGAAGAGGGGGAGGAAGGAGGCGGGAAGAACGCGGGGCGCCGACTCTTCAAAACGAGGACCCAACATCACAGGATGGTTGGGGAAAAGAGAGGAACAAGAGGATGCCCATGGGGATGGGGTAGGGGGAGGAGGATGAGGAGGAGGGCGAGGAAGGCGAGGAGGACGATGCTGAAAACAGCAGCCGCGGCCAATGATTCGAGGCTGAAGCGATGCTTTGCAAATTCGCAATAGCCGTGGATTTGGGCATCGGAAGAATACAAGGGGATGGGAAGGGCGTGCGGAGAGGAAGGGCGACAGAGTGGAGGCGGGAAGCTTGCGCGCGACAAGTCGTGGCGAGCTAAACGGTCGCAGCCATGGAAGTGGACTGCAACGAGAAGCGGCCAATAGCCCCGTGCTCGACTTGGTCCGGACCCTCGAACTCTTGCAATTCTGACTGCAGCAGCGCAGCCCACTCAGTGCTGCACCGATCATGCAAAGCCCTCGATTCTTCATATCAGCGCCATAATCAACACATTCAGCGGTTCTGCATAGTTCGTCGGCTCCGGATAACGCCATTTGAACCCCTCTCCAGATTCAGGGGGGTCGGTACCCAAGTGCTGCATGCGTCTTGGGACGCTCCACTTCGTGCCAGAGGCACGGTGAGGGATCGCGAGTCTGAGTCCAAGGTGGGGCCCACTGAAATGTGTAGTCATTGTTAAATCTGGCGCGTCCCTCTACAGCAGGGAAATTCAAAATTGTAATACGTTGTCTGGGGACGACTTGTTGTTATTTGTTTGACAATGTGTGATGTGGTTCCGTCTTGTTTGTTTTTGTTTTGTTGTTTTGTGCTTCTCTTTTTTGTGCTGTTTTCTGTTAAACAAATGTTCAACTGAAATCCTTCTGTATGGGGGACATGCCCGACCTAAAGTTGTTATGGCGGGCATCAGATGTACCAAGGAGTTGCATTCCGTTGACGCTGATCAGCGGTTCAGGGTACAGTGAGGGCGTGCATCAAGAAACCATCTGCTATTCGTCACGGCACAGTGCCGTGTTTAATGCATGCTCCGCGTGCGGATCTTGTATAAACAAATGCAGGGGTCTAGTATCAAAAACGACGATGGGTTCATGCATAAATATATTCATAAAGTAATCCCTTATGTTAGGAATACAAAGACATAGTTTTATACATCTCATATGTTTCAAACATATCATGTTCAGACTTAAACGTCCTATATTCAGTATTCAGTTTCAAAAGCCCTATATGTTTTAAATCTTATACGCACAAATCTAATCATACATTAATCATGGATCAAACATCCTATGTGCTTAAAAATCCCATGGATTCAAAACTGCCCTGTACCCTTGGGGGTTCCTCGTTCCGCGCGCCGCGTGGCGACCCTTCGCGGCAGTCAGGGGGTCAGCCTGCTGCGTGCAGGGTGCTCCGGGTTCTCCTTCGGCTGCACCTCGCGCGCGGGTGAGGGGGAGGAATAGGAGGAGGAGGAGGAGGAGGAGGAGGAGGAGGAGGAGGAGGCGGAGGGGGAGGAGGAGGAGAGGGAGGAGGAGGAGGAGAAGGAGGAGGAGAAGGGGAGGAGGAGGAGAGCAAGAGAGGAGGAGGAGGAGGTGGGAGAGCAAGAGAGAGGAGGAGGAGAGCAAGAGAGAGGAAGAGGAGGAGGAGGAGGAGGAGGAGGAGGAGGAGGGGGAGGCGGAGGAGGAGGAGGAGGAGGAGGAGGAGGAGGAGGGAGGAGGAGGGGGTTTTCAGGGCTGTGCTTCCTGCGCGGGTCTTCTCTGCCGAATTCAAGCTTCGCGCGGCCCGCTTAGCTTCGACAGGAAGAGTTTGTGTTTCTTGCGGGGGGTTCTTGCTGCCGCGCCCGCACGTTCAAGCCGCCAACGCTGTCGTGTCAACGCCGCCGTCACCAACGGTTGTTGTCAGATTTGGTATGTCCGCGTCATGCTAGCGGCATTCCTTCCGGACCTCGTATGACCGCACATGTGGTCGTAGTTCATGCTCGCCTTCGTCGGTTCGTTCTTCCCGCTGCTTGCGGTTGCTGCTGATCATTCCTCCACTCTCTTTGCCTCCATCCGTCCCTCTGCCCCCGAGCATCCCGGCCTCCTGCCTGCCGTTCTCTCCCCTCGTCCCTCGTTGGGGGGGAGAGTCGGCGGGTCGTGCGACAAGCGCCTGAGAGATGTCTAGGGGCTCCTGCTCCCCCTCCTCCTCCTCCTCCTCCTCCTCCTCCTCCTCCTTCTCCTCCTCCTCCTCCTCCTCCCCCCCCTCCTCCCCCTCCTTCTGCCTCTCCTGCTCCTCCTCCTCCCCTCCTCCCCCTCCTCCTGCTCCCCCTCCTCCTCCTCCTCCTCCCCCTCCCCCTCCTCCTCCTCCTCCTCCTCCTCCTCCTCCTCCTCCCTCCTCCTCCTCCCCTCTGCTCCCCCTCCTCCTCCTTCTCCTCCTTTTCTCCTCCCCCCTCCTTCTCCTCCCCCTCCCCCTCCCTCTCCCCCTCCTCCCCCTCCCCCTCCTCCTCCCCCTCCCCCTCCTCCCCCTCCTCCTCCTCCCCCTCCTCCCCCTCCTCCCTCCCTTGCCGAGGAGGCGGTCCTGGACGACGTCGTGCAGTTCCGCATCGAGGGGGAGCCGGGCGCCGCGCCGCCGCAGTTGCAGCTGGAGGCGGCCCGCGGAGCTGCGGCGGCAGTGCTTTGCTTGTGTGCGTGTCGCGATACAGTCGGAGGAGGAGGAGGAGGAGGAGGAGGAGGAGGAGGAGGAGGAAAAGGAAAAGGAGGAGGAAAAGGAGGAGGAGGAGGAGGAGGAGGAGGAGGAGGAGGAGGAGGCCACGGCCACGCTGCAGGAGGCGCTGGGGGACACTACGGCCCAGGTGGGCGGCGAAGGACTGGCAGCAACGCAGCACTCACTGGCTACGGCCCCTCTCGCTGCGGCTGCCCGCCTGGCCGCCGACCTCGCGGCAGGCGAGGGCCCTCCCGCGGCGGCCGCCTTGCGCTCGGCAGGAGGGCCAGGGGCGAGCGGCTGGCTGCAGGCCCCCACGAAGGCGCGCCACCGCCTGAGCAACGCGCAGTTCAGCATCGCAATGGGAGTTCGCCTGAACCTCGACCTGCCGGGCTGCACTGGGCTCTGCCAGCACCGCCACCCCAATGGCGGGACTTGCGGCGCGCCGCTCGACCCGAAGGGCAGACACGCGCGGGCCTGCCCGGTCGGCGGCTGGCTCGTCCGCCGGCACGACGCGGGGCGCGCAGCGCTCGCGGAGTGGTGCGAGGCGCAGGGCTGCTCGGTGCACCGCGAGGCGCTGCTCCCGCGCGCCTCTCCGCAGAGCCCCGAAGCGCGCATGGACCTAGTGATCCACGCGCCCGGCGCCGTTGGACCGCTTCTGGTCGACCTCGCGGTCGTCAGCGCGGTTTCCCAGGACGCCTTGGCGCTCGGGGCTGCGAGGAGGGACGGGGCTGCCGCAGCAGCAGCGGAAAGAAGGAAACGAGCTCGCTATCCTCCGGTGCCCGTGCTGCCCTTCGTAGTGGAGGACCACGGGCGGCTGGGGGAGGAAGCGGCGGCCCTCGCCAAGAGGCTGGCGCCGGCTGACGACGCGGGGCGTTCGGCGGCCATCCGCGAGCTCCAGCAGGCCCTTGGCTGCGTGCTGCAGCGGCGCGCTGCGGGCGCGGTGCTGGCCGCCACCCGGGCTAGGCCCTGGCGGGCGGCCGCCGCGCTCCGGGCGGCGCCCAGCGGGCGGCCAGAGGGCGCCGCGGCGCTGAGCGGAGGAGGGGGGGGCTGAGGGCAGAGGCGGCGCCAAGGCGGCTGGAGGCGGCGGAGGCGGCGCCGGCGCTGCAGGGCGGCGCACCGGGGAGCCAGGCTGCGGCTGGGGGCTGGGGGGCTGCAGGGGGCCTGCGGGGCGGCTGGGCTGCGGGCGCGCGCGGGCAAGGCCGGGGGCGCCGCTGCGAGCTGGAGGAGGCTCGCGGACCGGCAGGGCAGCGGGCGAGCGGCGGAGGGGCGCGAGCGCTGGAGGCCGCTGCCCACAACCATTTCGGGGTCGGCTGCTCCCCAGAGCCGTCGACGGGCGGACCCCTGGCTTGCCAGGGGCGTGGGCTCGTCCCCCCTGGGGAGAGAAAAGGGTACGGGTCCCCCGACGGGGGGGCAGCCCCCGTACCTGGCGCCGATGTCGGGGTGGTGTCGTGCGGCGGCGGCCCCCCTTGCGGTGGGGCTGCGCCGGAGGCGCCTGGCGGTGGGACCGCGCCAGAGGCAGCGGCGCGCGCGGCGGCCTGGTCGTGCAGGTCCCCATGGTGCTCCCGGGTAAGCCCAGACTAGAGGCCCTGGCCGGCGCACCCCCCCTTGGGAGCGGCCGCTTTTTTGCGCGCCACTCCCGGGGGAACCTTCCCGTTTGAGGGGCGAAGGGGCGAGGGTGCGCGCCGGCTCCCGACCAAAGAGCGCCCGCGGCAAAGCGACTCGCGGCGCTCGGAGGAGGAGGAGGAGGGAGGAGGGGGAGGGGGAGGGGGAGGGGGAGGAGGAGGAGGAGGAGGAGGAGGAGGAGGAGGAGGAGGAGGCGGAGGCGGAGGAGGAGGATGAGGAGGAGGAGGGGCCCTGAAGAAGGAACCCTTTTCGTTTGGGAGGGGCTCGGTGTTCCCTGATTGTTTTACAGTTTGCCTTGGTTTCCTCAGGTCTCCATGGGAGGTCGAAGTTCAACTTATGGAAAATACGGGCCTCGTTCCTTGTTCAGGGTTCCTGAGGTCAACGCCCCGACTGTGAGAAGTCTGGACCGTCCCTCCGCAGAGGGAATATTCAAACGTAGTAGTAAAAATGCCCTGGGGACGATGGTTTGACTGTTTTCCGACTATGTTGGAGTAAGTTATTCTTTTTGTTTGCATGTTTCGTTCCAAATCCGCCTGTACGGGGACGTGCCCGACCTAAGTGTAGCTGTGCGTGCGTGTGTGTATATGTATGATTATGTTTGTGAATGTGTGTCCGTATGTTGGTGAATGGCGATGGTGGTGGGGTCATCATCCCAGGTCGCTCCGCCTCGTGTTCTGCTTCCCCCTGTCCCCCCATCAGCATCCGCCTACGCCTCAGCGGATCTTGGGCCAGCGGCCCAGATGTGGTTACGGGTCCATCAGGTGGCCGCTGCGCGAAGGGGGCATTACCTGCGCTGTGCCAGACATCCACATAGACCCTGGGCTTTTTCTGTTCTGATTTATTATCGGTCCAATCATCGTGAGCAACCGTCTTCGGATTTTCATTGCGAACGCAACTGTCTTCACTACCAGCGACGGCAATCTTCTGCACATCCGAGCATCCACCTAGTCGTGGGTATCCCTTTTCGGAATGTCTCATGCAGTCCCATGCCAGCCGTTGTGACTCCCGCGAAACTCCACCCCGCGACCCCGTTACAATGTGTCGGCGAATCCCAATGTCGGGATTTTTCAGCGCCCACTTGGGCTCAAGGGCTTGCGAGACGCCAGTGATATCCCAGCGACATAGTGAGGAGCCTAAAGTCGGAGGCGACGTGCATAATGGAGGAGGGAGGAGTGGGACGAGGCAGGGGGGCGGTCGGAGAAGTGAGGAGGAGCGCGGCAGCAGATGGAGGAAAATGAGGTGTAGGGAAGTGGTTGGATCGGGTGTTGAAGAGGAAAAGGAGGAGGATAATAATGATGGAGGGGAAGGGGACGAGGAGGAACCGTAAGACGACGGTGGTGATGTGAACTGTGGACAACGTGTGCGCAGTTTTGCAGCGCTGGGGAAAAGAAGGGTCGCAGCGTTTCCCCGTCTCCGGGAGGAGGCTATGAGGAGGATCTAGGAGGAGGACGAGGAGGGAGGAGTTGGAGGGACACGAGAGGCGCGACGCAGATAGCGATGGGAGGACAGGTATGAGGAGGAGGACGAGGAGGAGGAGGAGGAGGAGGAGGAGGACCACAGGTGATGCGGGACGGAGGGATTCGGGAGGAGGGCGGAACAGGAGGAGCAGCAGCTTGCGGATGTGGACGTGCAGGTGTAGGGAGAAGGATTGAGGGGGTGGAGGGGAATGAGGAACATTTGCCTCATGGTGCTCCACCCTTGAAATCGCAGCCGCTCTCGCTCTCACACTGGGAGGTGAAGCTCATGTACGCTGACCTCTGCGACGGAGAGTTGCCTGCCGGTGATCCGGATGAATCAGCACGCGCGGACGCCCCTGACATGCCTCGGGCTGGGAGTGTCGGCAGTGAGCGAGAGAGCGAGAGAGGGGCGTCTTAGGGTCCTCCCAGGCCAGCTTACAGGCTACCTTGGGACCATCTTCATCGGCCATTTTGGGCTCTTCGGGCTCCCTTCGGGGCCTTCTTGTAAGCACCGTGTGCTCTCCTGGCCGTCGCGTGTCTTCCCAGAGGAGTCCAGGCAATCTGCGTAGACTTGCCAGGAGGCTACGGACACAACACACCCACAGTTGGTCTTTGCTTTGATGGCGCGCACTGATAGTGGACAGTGGGAAGGCGACAAGACTTGAGCGACAAGAGGCAATGCACAAACACACGACAAAGACAACTATCTAGCAGTCCAGCACGAACTTCCACGGTGGTGCGTCACCAGCGGGGCTGGCACCAAGTTCAATCCGCGATTCAAGTTGATATCGCATGGGTCCGATTCGCGCCGCATGTGGCGGAAAGAGTTTTTGAAGCACTGCGCTTCCGGGACTGTCAACCAGAGCCCGCAATTTGGCAACCAGACCAACCATTTTTGGTTCATTCGGATTTTGCCAGCCAGGCCCGGGCAAATTGCTTTTCCGAATTGGTATGAGGCCAAGCGGATCCGCCCACCCTGGGCATGGACTCTGCCAGCTGGGACAGTGGCCCCCAATCCGCAAGCCATACTTTGGAATCAACCAGCCAGACCAGGGAATTCGCCAGTCGAAACGATATGTCAGGCCTGGTCGAAGAGACATTTGGGGTTCTCTCGTGCTGGGGAGCAGGAGGACGGTCGTTCACCCACGCTCCCTCAAATTCTTGACGCTACGCTTCGCGTCCCCGCTCAGAGTTTGCAGTCAGCTCAGCCAGCTCAGCCTCAGCCAGCTGACCCACTGGCGGTAGGTTCTGATTCCGGGCTCGGTCGCTGTTCTTTTAGGCTCGCGCGTTGCTCCTCCCTCACGCCGTAGGCGGCCTCGCCCGCGCGTTTAATGAGATCGGCCCGCGGCCCAGACCTTTCAACTCGGCGCCTGCGCTTTCGCTTGCGCCCGCGAGGAAAAAAGTCCCCGCTCAGAGGCCGATCGGCAGCGAAACAGTGAGAAGGCCCCCACCGTTCACTCCAAAGCGCGTTTTCGCAGAATCCTTGTCCCTCTGGGGTACCCCTGGGAGGCACCGAAGCCTCCTCGAATCGTCTTGGGACATCTTGGGCCTTCTGGGAACCGTGTCTCTGAGGACAGTCGGAGCCATCCTGAGCCAAGCAGGACCTTCCAACACGGGACCCTCCAACTTCTCGCCCTCCCCCACCTTGGCAGACCCAGGAGACGTCGAAGCGGAATAGCGAAGCGGGAAGAGAGATTCGTTACAGTCAACCCTCATGGTAAGGATACGCAATTGTCCCAAGGGTACTCTTGCATCCTTGCCTCCTCGGTCCATCCTTGGCCACTTTGGGCTGGCCGCGCCCAGCTCGAAAATGTTCGACATGGCCTTTCAAGGCCCTTGCATCCTTCTGATTCGGGTCGGCTGTGACCGTGCCTATCCAGCGCTTCGCACCAATCGTGGCTTCGCAAGGCGAGGCCTCTTGCATTCAGGAGGGAAAGAAACACACAGACACAATTAATCGTCGATTCCCCAGAAAATATGGGAAAATATGGGAAGTGGGGGGGAAGACAAAAACCCAGAAAATATATGAAAATATGGGGGATATTTTTATTTGTGTGTATTTATTTGTGTGTCCCAGTTCCCCTTCATGCATGGATGCACACACAGGACTTCCCCTGGTCTCTGCCGCAGGGTGCGCGGCTCATCTCGGCATCCCTGCCGGGCGGCTGGCCTTTCTCATTTACATCTGCCAGATTCTGCTCATCTCTTTCATCATGTGGACCTCAGCATGCACCTCGTGGACTGCCAAGGGTACAGTTAACCCGCATGGTAAGGATTGGCAACCTTTTCCCAGGCTGCCCCTGCATTTCTGTGTCCCTTCGGCCCATCCTTGGTCACTCTCGCCGGCTTGCCTGGTTCGAGAGACACTAGCAGGGCCATCCAAGGTCCTTGCATACGTTGTGCGCATCTTTACTGTGCGGGTTAAGCGTAGCTTCCCGAGTCTCAGTCCTCCTCGCCCTTTGGTCCGTGCTGTGTCTTGTCCGGGGGACAAGGAAAGGGCGTAGGCACCCGCGCTCGTGGCCTGAGCACTCACCTGCGACCGGCTCACTGGAATCGGATCCCCTCTGGAAGCGAGCGGCAGCCTACGGAAAGTCTGCGTGCAGTCGACGTGGAGCCCTCCTCCCGCGAGGATGTCGCGTTGCCGCGGGTGTCACCCTCCAAGTTGTTTGAGGTGCAGTTCCAGGAGCTGTCCAAGAAGACGTTTAGGCCCGTTCCCACCCGCTGTCCTCGAGGAAGCGCAGGGCGCGGCTGAGGAGGAGGAGGTAGAAGAGGAGGAGGGGATGCGGTCGAGGAGTGGAAATGAGGAGCAAGCTGGGATCGGAAGGTGTCTGGTATTCGATAGCTCCCCCCTTTGATCTGCTCCGGGGGCCCGGCAAGAATCTCAGCCCGACCTGCGGGTACATAGTACAGAGCGGACCTCATTCGCGATGTGAGGTGCCTTGCACGGCATTGGTTGTAGAGTTTGGGATTACTTGGCCTGCAGCCGGGCGCGCGCTAGACCATCGGTACAGCACATGTGGCAGTAAGACCGAAAGCAACGAGACCTTTCCATCTGGAGCCACAGTGACAACAGTCATATCTCTCTGCACTCCCGCAGCGCAGAGAGCTACCCCTGCACAGTGTCAGGCCAAACCTATGTGATACACTAGGAACACATGGAACGAAGCGGGTTTCCACACACAGAGACTGCGGTGCAAACCGCCATGTCCAGGGACAGCGCCGACTACCGCCGGCTTTCGACCTCGAGGTGCGGCAAGTCTCGGAGCGTGAATTACCTGCCCCGCTTTCGCTTCCAGGCAAGACCAAGCCATGCCGCGCGCCTCCCCGTGGAGTGGCCTGGCCCGTGCGCGCCGTAGTTTGGTATCGCTTGGTAGCTCTTGGAAGCAAGGGTGGTCAAAAGCGAGGTAGGTTCGTTTGCCCCCTAAATAGGGGGACAACATGTGGCATAAACACAAAAACTCCGAGGTCCGCGCGGATTTCTCGGATCGGCGCTGGACCCCCCTCCCTGGCGCGCGGAACGCGCCAGGGGCCGCGCCGGAGGCGCCGCCGGGGGGGCCCCAGCGCCGATCCGAGAAATCCGCGCGGACTTCCGAGTCTTTATGTCTATGTCACTTTTTGTTCCCCTACCTGAGGCTGCGTTCGCATGCGCCCACCGCGCTCATTTTGGCACACCCTCACAGGCTTCATGGCCCCATCGAGAGCTCCACCGACGGCTTCCCTGCTAAAGCCAACGTCTGCACAGCTGCGCCGCGGGCCCCCCCCGGGGGGCCCGCGGCTGCCTGCAGGCGCTGGGCCCGTGCCCCTGCGCCCCCCGAGGGTGCCCCGCGGCGGCCGTCGCGGAGGGTTCGCCCCGCGGGGGGCCGGGTGGGGCAGGGCTTCCAGCGCGGTGGTCACCACCATCCCCAGGTACCAGGCCTCGGTACCTTAGTTAGGGGAACAAAAAGTGGCATACACATAAAAACTCGGAGGTCCGCGCGGACTTCTCGGGTCGGCGCTGGGGCCCCCCGGCGACGCCTCCGGCGCCGCCCCTGGCGCGCTCCGCGCGCCAGGGAGGGGGGTCCAGCGCGGATCCGAGAAATCCGCGCGGACCTCCGAGTTTTTATGTTATGCCACTTTTTGTTTCCCTAGGGTGGGACAGAGCTTCTGGCGCGGTGGTCACTACCACCCCCAGGCACCAGGCCTTGGAAACGACAGGGCAGTTTTTTAACCAGTTCCGTTCTACAGTTTGTTTGCCGGTTCCGACGCCGTTTTTTTACGGGTTCCGTCGCCGTTCTTTGACGGGTGCCCGCTCCGGTTCCAATCCTGGAGCCGTTTCCGTTGCCGTTTCCGGTCGCCGTTTTCTTGCCGTTTCCAGTTTGCAAGGGACCCTTTTTCGGAAACAATGAAAACACGGCCCTGCCGTTTCGGGGGCCCACTGAGCTCGGTACCCATCCAGCGTAAAGTATCCTTGACCTTCCAGAGAGCTACTTTTTTAGCACGGGAGGCCTAAAACCTAAATTATCCCGGCAAAGCAACCTAACAGCGATGTGTAGGAGCATATTTTGAAGCATTCCCCTTCAGATTCAGATGAGAATCCAGTTGTAGAATTCTGCTGTTCTCGCAGTCGTAGTCGCATTCGCGATGACAGTCGCAGTGGCAACGGCAGTCGCAGTCACAGCCTCAGCCTCAGCCTGCCTCAGCCTCAGCCTCAGCCTGCCTCAGCCTCAGCCTGCCTCAGCCTCAGCCTCAGCCTCAGCCTGCCTCAGCATCAGCCTGCCTCAGCCTCAGCCTCAGCCTGCCTCAGCCTCAGCCTCAGTCTGCTTCAGCCTCAGCCTCAGTCTGCCTTCAGCCTCGGCCTCAGCCTCAGCCTGCCTCAGCCTCAGCCTGCAGCATCAGCCTGCCTCAGCATTCAAAATGTGGCCCAGGAATGGAGTTCTGGGAACTCGAAGAACACGAAGTGGCCTACAGTTGGCTCCGGGCATTCAAAATCATGCCCAGGAATGGAGTTCTGGGAACTCGAAGAGCACGAAGTGGCCTACAGTTGGCTCCGGGCATTCAAAATGTGGCCCGGGAATGGAGTTCTGGGAACTCGAAGAGCACGAAGTGGCCTACAGTTGGCTCCGGGCATCCAAAATGTGGCCCGGGAATGGAGTTCTGGGAAGTCGAAGAGCACGAAGTGGCCTACAGTTGGCTCCGGGCATCCAAAATGTACGCCGGGAATGGAGTTCTAGCAGCGCCAAGAGCGATTCCGCGAGGATGTCCCAAGCGATTTGGGCTTCGACGGCAGCCGCGCCGGGTCCCGCCCTGGGTCCCGCCCCGACCCCCCTGAGGAGTCATGATGCTCTCTTTTGACCCCACTAGAAACCTATCAGTCTTCGCTGTTAGGTAACATCGAAACGAAACAGCCTAAAACCAAGACATAGAACAGCTCTGGGACAGGTTTTTAAGCCGCGTGCTATTTTTTAGCCCTCCTGGAAGGTCAGGGATGGGGGAGGGGCGTGGCCGTACAGTCGGGGCCCTGAAGAAGGAACCCTTTTCGTTGGGGAGGGGCTCCGTGCTCCTTAAGTATTTCGCAACTTGCCTTGGATTTTCCTTAGGTTTTCGATACGAAATCGAAGTTCACCTTATGGAAAATAGGGGCCTCGTTCCTTATTTAGGGTTCCTTAGGTCAACGCCTCGACTGTATGGGGGAGGGGCATGGCCGCAGCCGTGGGGGCAGCAGGAGGGCCCGCGCGTGCGCCCCGCCGGAGTGCCTAGCGGCCTCCGTCGGGGAGGGTTCGCCCCGTGGGGGGCGGGCGAGGCAGGGCTTCCGGCTCGGTGGTCGTTGCCATGCCTCGGGGGCCTCGAGACCCAGACCCCCTCGAGTAATGAAGAAATCATGACGGGATGTTTTCCCTGATTTTCAGCCTCCAGGGGCCCTCACCGGGCCTCGAGAGCGTCAAAAAACGACTCAGGATGCAAAGCCGGTCATGGGGAAAGGGTCCAGACTTCTGGGGGTCGACGCAATGAAAAAATCATTACGTCGGGGGTCTGGAGACGGGAGTCGATGCAAACGGGGGTCAGCCAGAGCGCCCGATCTCGCAGGATCCTGCAGGGCCAGGGTCGCACTGGCCAGGGCTTGGGCGCAGGGTCCTGCGGGATCTCGCAGGATCCTTCGCATTGACCGGGGTTTGGGTGCAGGACCTTGCAGGATCTTGCAGGATTTTGCAAGGGCTGAGTGGCCCGGGTCTGAATTGACCCGGGTCGGAAGATCCCAGAAATCCCAAGCACCAGGCCTCGGTACCCATCCAGCGTAAAGTAAGGGGGAGGGGCATCAACGTGGTCGTGGGGGCAGCAGCAGGGGCTACATGTATCTATATATATATAATATATATAGAGATATGTATATATTTATAAATGTAGACATGTATACATGTGTATATATATATATAGATATGTATGTATGTATGTATATATATATATGTTTGTATTCATGAATACACAGAGAGAGAGACGGGGGGATGACTAGGAATAAAGCATGCCTTTACGCGCGATTCCGCCGTGGGCTTGCATTCGCTTCGCACTGCTTGCGGCCAGCTTTTTGTATTTTTTCTATGACCTCACCGTTCGAACAGTACGCCCCGCTCTTGGTCAGGCAGCCGTGGAGCGTGATATCACCCCATGGACGGCACTCGGCGGCGCGCCGAGGGAAGCGAGATGGGGGCAGGTCTTTTCAGACGGCGAGGCTTCTCAATCGCCCTCCGCTCTATGAGAAGCCCCCTCAAGCTCAGGCGCTCGCAAGCATGGATCGAGGGGGCGTGGATTAGCGACGGGTCCTGGTTCCATTGGAAATCGCGGATTTCCGCCGCCGAGCGAGGTGGCACCGGCCGCCTTTCGGGGAGGGCACCTTCCCCGATCCACGGATTTGGCGACCGCGCGCCAAATCCATGGATCGCTGGTCAATGTTTGCGCGCCCCCTCAATCTTCGGAGAAGGCTCCTCAGAAGCTTCCTCGGAAGACCGAACGCTTTCCGAGCCTTCCGAGCAGGTCCGCCGCTCCCGCCTGCGTGCCCCCCCTGATGAGTGGATCTTCGTCCTGTCATAGTTCATAGGAGTTGTCTGTTTATACATACCATACAACATATATATATATATATATATATATATAACCATTGCAACAAAGTGCTAACATTTGATACATTGTATACACTAGATTGAAGTTCTACGTCGTTACATAATAGTTTGTATAATTCGCTTGGCTTGAACACAATTAAGCAGAATTTGCAACATTATAATTGTATTTTTGGTGCAATGTGTTACAAGTCGCTGGAATTCGGGAGTTGTGCTCCCCGCCCCGTACATAGGCTAATCCATGCACACCCCAAATGACGGTGGGGCAGGTTGTCAAGTTCGTTGCAATGCACGGCCAGTGCATGTGCCAAAGCGGCGGGTACGATTCGAATACCCATGTTTGCCATGCGTCGTTGATATTTATACATCGACATCATCGCCATCCATCATCATTGGGCCGTTGGGGTATCATCGGGCGCCGTCTTGAGCCATCGCTTGCCTTTGCATGAGAGCTTCTGCTCATGCAACGCATGGTTCATGAATATCACGTTTCGCGGAGAGATGCTGCTCATTCATGAGTCATTGAGCTCTTTTGCTCATGCAGCTCATGGCTCAATGTTTCCGACGGCTTTCGACATCGAGATTTGTATAAACACGTCGGTCTGCAAAGTTGTCTCC